TATAAAAATTTTTTAAATAAAAACTCGATCTTCAAGTCGAGATAATACTTAGCTTTCCCAAGCTTTTGTTTCAAAATCTCCGTCTTTAGATATGTGCTGACATCATCAAGCCCTTTATATATTTCATTGATGTTTTCCACCATCAATATTGACTTAGATAATAAATAATAGATAAGTTCATTATCAACCCTTTATCGAGCACACAATGGTACATATTATTCCTTCAATGAGGATATTAACTCCATTCGCAACCCTTTAAAGAGTAAATATAATGACACTTAAATTCTCATTTCGGGAATTATAAATCCATCAAGAATTTCTCAAAATAAATATTAACTATTTCAGGTCCTATAAAAACCTTAATATTTTAATGTGCGATTTTCACTTTTTCTCATTTTGAGAACTTAAAATCCTTCGTGGACTTTTGAATTTAATATTAGTTGCATATCTAATTTATTATTCTGCCAATGATGTAGCGGAACTTAATGCCATTTATCGTGGGAAAATATGTTTGATTAAAATCAATCAAGGGTATCTGCGTGAACCCATAAGACTACAAACTCGCTTTATATCATATCACCTTATTATTCTTATTTCTCTTTCGTGCACACACCCACTTGTAACCTTCGGGGTTAACTCTCAACGGTGTATTGTTATAAAGAAAATTATTAATAATTAGCGAGTCGAGCTATGCCTTAATTGCTCCTTTATACGTTAAATAGTCATGGTACTTCCGGTGCATAACTCTGGATCCAGATTATCATATAATGGAGCAATTTGTACAGGCTATTGTGTTGTCGACAACTATAATACTTTCTTAAATTTTTCCCATATTTATAATTATTTATGGCAATATTTAAGTCAACCAAATTCTAGACATTTCCCAGAACTTATTCAGATCACATCTGGTTGTCCCGCATCCCTAGTATTATGTTTGTTTGGTGCACCTATAAATTGACTAGGGTTTTTCGTCATCTGGACGAACGTCTCCAAGACATAATTATTCAAGGTATATCAAGAGTGACAATGTTTATTTACTAGATCTAGTATAATGATTCTTATCTCTTATACCGATAGATCTCCTACACTTCTGGCATCAAGGAGTATCGATAGATATATTTGGTCCAAATTGGGGATGGTATATGGACCTAGTCACTCTTTTATGATCAGTATGATCAATAGATGTATTTGGCAGATTATTTGCTAATATCGCAAATATATCATCTTCTGAACTTTCAGTTCAGTCTAACTAGTACATGGATTAAATAATGAAGATATTTTTATTCTATGGAATTTCTTGGCATTATATTAAATTTGAACTCTTATCTCCCCCTAATGCCAAGAAACAATCTTCATTAATTAAGTATGCAGTCAAGCGTACCTAAAGATATGTATATTAGTCTCCTATCATGTGCTCTTGGCATTAATTAATCAAGAGACTAAGGCTTCTTTGGTAGCCTTTTTAGAGGTACGCTGTAGTGGTGATATATTGAAATAGACTGCGCACTATAAATAATAACGCAGATAGGGAAATGTTTATTTTGAAAACATGTACTAGGTATAACAATCATAACAATCCTTGAGGGATTGATTTGTGATATGCCATTAGTTAGATTTGAAAAAAAAAATATTAGGAATTCCCCTTCACAATTTAATTGCTTCAGGCACACTAACATAATCTAACTAACTTTATAGTATTATCTCATCGGACGGTGTTTGCACTTGTCCTAACGACCCTTCCAGGGTTTGACAAAATATTTGGGGATTGATCAATAGTTATTGTCAAGGTTTGATCCAAATGTTGACATTGGAAATTAGAGCTCTTAGTTCACCTTCGGGTAAATATATATTCAAAAAATAAGAACTATAAATTTTATATCTCAATATTATATATGAGATAAATTTCAATATTTAGCACTCATGTCCGATATTTTCTATTGTAAAACTAGCACTATATACAAGTTTGACTTTGGACAAATAATTATTGACTTTTGAATTGTATCAAGTCAATTTCACATTAGAGATATATAATTTGTCCGAATATTGTTATCATATAATTAGTGCTATGAATTCACCTTCCAGGCAAAACTATAGTCGATTATTCATGCTAGATATCACAAAATTTAGACTCATATAATCTAATTGACATCACAAGATCAAAACAAGGTTTAGCAACAACAGGTGCAACCTAACAATGAAAAACCATATTGAGAATTCATGCTTTTGTCTCATTTATAAGTTGTGTGATAAAATCTCAATAGTTATGGCCTATAGCAAATAATTAATTGCCAACATGAGAAATAACAAATTCTCTTATATGAGCTTAATCAATAGATTATATGCCAAATGTTGTCAATTAAAGAGAAACATATTCAATATGTGATATAATTGTCCATTATGTCTTGTACACCAAAATCTCAATTAAATCATGCACATTCATTTTAAATAAAGGGTATCATGTTTGATAAAATGAGAGAAGTACCGTTCGCCGAAGGGTAACGAGCACATGTTCGCTGCTGGATCCATTCATTCCTATTTCGTGGAGTCAAAAACTAACACTTTTCCAAGCAAGCTCTCATTTTATCTCATAGTTTCATACAAGTATGAAAACATCACAAAATAGCAAGATATACAAGCTAAACTGAAACTGGCAGAAAATTTCAGAATTTTGACCTGGATTGCAGAATTAACGGGGGAAAAACGGTAACACATTTTGACACAAAATTTTGCAGATAGGTATTTCAGCAAGTCTAGAACGTACATGAAAAATTTTCATGCCAATCCAAGGTCTAGAAGTATTTTTCCAAAAATATTTCCAACATTGCGTCAGGCAGAAAAATAACTGGCAGCACACTGCCAAAATTTTACAGAATTTTCTGGAACAACCAAAGCATATTTTTAAGAAAAACTTTTATAGACATCAAATATCACAAGTCTAGGTTCTCCAGAAAAAATTTCAGGCCAAAAGAAGTTCAACAGGTATTTTTCACGAATTTAATTTTCAAGCTGTACCGGTCAGAATATTCAAGCAGTGATTACTATGTGTAAACAAAATTTATTTACAATTTGTTTGCTTCTGGCAAACCAGCATGATGTGAGTCTTTCATGAGTCATTAGTCACCCGAATACTCATAATTGAGATTTTAGGCCAAAATGAGTGACATAAAAAAAAAAAAGATTAGTGCTCTTAATTTACCTTCTGGGTATAACTATATTAAAAATTAGACACTATCATTTTGTTTAAATACTCAGATTTAAGATTTATTCTAATGCCCGAGACTCATGTGAAATAATTTCTATAGCAAATTAGCACCATCAATTAACTTTTAAAATAATACAAAGCCAGTTTTACATTGGGGAAACCGCACTAGTGCTGTTATTTCTAATTTGTGCTATGACTTGTTGCTATTATGTTTAGAATTTTGGCTATAATCACTTGTTGATCAAGACGATTCTTCAGGGACAGTCATATCATATAATAAGTGCTTCATTTCTAGGCAAATATTATATGCATTTATGCAAGTTCCCATTAAGATTTAAGAAAAATCTTTATCATCAAATATGAAGAGAGCTAAAATCAGAATAACAATGGCTTAATCATTAAGCTGCCGACCAATTAACCATGAAAGCCTCCAAACTGCAATTACAAGCATATGAAAATTCTAAAGCCAAACAAGTTGACATTTTGGATTAAACCAATAATACTGATTTCTCTAGACAAGTCTCTTATGAATAGATTTGTGCATATAAAGAGACACACATAGAGACATGCATGCATAAAACCTCATCAAAACAAATAAATATTTTTGAATTCCTGACAAGTCAAGAAATATAGCCATGTATATGCCAATTGATTGTCCACAATAGTATGACCCATCTTTCAACAAGGGCTATTTCACGGTATTAATGTACCAGAGCATTCATTTATGTTCTATTAACATAGATTAGACGTATGGTCATTTAACATATATTTATAACTTCAAAGCATGCATCATGTGGTCATTTAATAATCATGTATTTTTTTTTAAGGTAAAACTACTTATCTCGTAAGGTTGCTGAGTCCACCATGTATGGAGTAGCAAGCACCTTCTGATTTCGCAGATGATTATGTGTTGTGATGTCGTTTGGGAACTGAGCCGCAGCCAGAGAGTAAAGAAACAAAAGCACAACACAACACCGAGAGTGAAGACTCCGTGCGAAAAAGATTCCCCCTCACACCCACTTCATGCATTCATCAATGGTTTTGCTGCACACAACCTCAACTATCCTCACGCCTCGATGTTTCGTGGGGAGTCTCCAAAACGTCGGGTCTCTGTCTTTCTGGACGGCGATCAATCTGAGACCTACGGACAAAAGAATAAGGGAGAAAAGAGAGGATCATCTCATTCATGGGTCCATTCTCTACAAGATTACAAAGTATATATAATCTATATTTGACAGCTATTACATAACATTCCATAAATACTAAGCTGTTACAAATCATGTTATTAATGCCAGAATAATGTCCATAATAAGATTTTACAACATGTACAATTTTTTTTTTAAAACAAAAGAATTTAAAATAAAAGATAAATCAAAATGCCGGATGGAAACCTATTTATGTTTTCTATTTTTTAAAAAGAGTTAATTCCAACAATGGTCCCCGACTATGTTGATTTTTCACAATTGGTCCCTGACTTTTAATTTGGACAATTTAGACACTTGACTTTCGAATTCATTCCAATATTGGTCCTTCCGTCAAATGAGAGTTAAGTGGATGTTAAATTAAGGGGTAATATTGTCCATTCAAGTGCTTAGTGTCTTTCTCTCTTCAAACATCAGAATAACAAAATCCCTAAATCCATTCCTTAGTCGTCCGCTGCATCGACGAGAGCGATCTATGGGTTTGCAGCCACAATCGCATTGGTGATCGCAAACTGGTTTTATATTGAGACACCAGTACCAGAGAGTGGCGATAAAAAAATAAATTTAATTTCTGTAAAATGTTCAACCAAACCGCCATGGTGTGGCCGTCGTTCATAATGTGTGGGGTGGTTTCCTCCATCGGAAACACCCTCTTCGTCGAGCAGGCCGATAGAATGAAGCCAGATGCTGGTGTTTACACAGTCCCTCTCGGCGTCCTTTTACACCTACCCAACGCCGCGAAGTTCATCCTCAAACAATGCTATGGTTTTAGTTACACCTTGATGAATAACTTCTTCAAATTGTGCGGTAAGATAACAACATACTTCAAAGGAGTTGACGCCAATGTGTTTTATATAGAAAAGATGGCGGCGCTGTTCGGCATCGGAATGGCGATGCTCAACGCCGTACTATGTTGCTTGGCGGCTTAGCGGCGGTGGTGGTGGAAAACGTAAGGTGGTAGGACACTATGAAGAAATATCTGCACCACGATAGCAAATTTTGGTTGGTACCTCAGTTCGTTTTTGTTATCGGCATCGATGCATTCCTCCAAGTAAGCGTCAATGATTTCTTCAAAAACTATGACCCTCTCGATAAATCATCACAAGAGGGGAAACCCACCTTGGAAGATCAGTCCTTGAAAAAGTACAGTATCCAGTTCACCAACTTCGTGATGGGTCTGGGATTTATAGGCAGTGTGGTGTCGGTTTTGGCGGTGGCCAAAATCAGCCAGAGTGTGACTGGGAAAAGCTGGATACAGAAAGAAGTGACTGATTGTCGGCTGGAGAACTACTATTGGGTTTTTGCTGTTCTAAGTAGCATCAATATCGTTTATTACGTTATTGCAGCTATTTGTTACACCTGCAGAAAGTTAAAGAAGGCTCCCAAGAAAAACACGGCCCCCGGCGACGCTCCTCAACAACCCCGGCCGGGTAAAACTGGATGTTGCTCCTGCTAGTTGATGGTGGCCTCGCCGCCTCGCCTGCGGCCAGACAGCCGATGGTGGTCAAGGCTGCGTGTGGCCAAAGTCAGGCTTGAAATGAAATTAATGTGTTGAAGCCTGAAATTGAGAAAGCAATAAAGGAAATGACTTGAATACCACTCTACTTAACGCCAACCAAACGGCTACTTAACGGAAGGACCATTGCTGGAACACTTTTGATAGTCAAGGGTCTATTTTGTCCAAATTAAAAGACGATGACTAATTTTGAAAAATCGTAATAGTCGGAGGACCATTACTGGAATTAACTCTTTTAAAAATTAGAGAAATATAAACGTAAATTTGTTTTTGTTTTTGTTTTTTTTTTTTTATTGTTTTAAATTTTACATTTCTCGAAAAAAAAAAGTTCAATTAACAAAATATCTTTAGTGCCGCCGTGAAGTTAAATAGTAAATCTCCCTCTCTCTCTCTTTATTGGTTTCAATTATCTTACTTTCAAATACTTCTTTTTTCTTTAGCAAATTCTTCTTTCAAAGGTCGTTTTACAAAATGCCCTAACTCTGTTTGTTTCTCATGTGAGTCGAGGATGACTTATACAGCTTGAAACAGAGATCATAATTCATGCTCGAGGTTTATTTCTTACTGTTCTCCTACTTCTAGGGATGTCAATTTAGCCCGAACCCGATGGACCAACCCGATAAAAACCGAAACCGACAGGGCTATGGCCCGAACGGGCTAACCCGATAAAACAAATTAGCCCGATACCCGATAGGGCTAGCCCGAAATTAAAAGGGCTAGCCCGACAGCCCGAACTATTAAAAATTATTTTTTTATTATAGAAGTGACGTGAAACCTAACATACATAAAATAATTATTATAATTAAAAAGAAATAAGTAAATAAATAAATAAATACATATATATATATATATATATATATATATATATATATATATATATATATATATATATATATATATATATATATATATATATATATACACATATATTAGTAATGCTACTGTACAGTAGCATTACTTTACTTTTTAAATGCTACTGTAAGCATTACTAATATATATATAGTAGCATTATGTTATATATATGTATTATGTTATATATATATATATATATATATATATATATATATATATATATATGTGTGTGTGTGCGCGCGCGCGCGCTACTGTACATTACTAAATGCTACTGTAAGCATTATTAATATATATATATATATATATATATATATATATATATATATATATATATATATATATATATATATATATATATATATAAAACTAAATGCTACCCCCGGTTTTGCCCCGCCCCGTTATTATTCCTACTCTAAATATGAGTACTCACTTTTAGTTTCTAATTTTAGTTCAGATTGTTCAACCCGCCCGATTAGCCCGACAACCCGAAGTTTAGGGTTAGGGCCAAACTGAACCCGAGAATAAAATATTAATTAACCGATTAGCCCGAACCGATAGCCCGACAACCCGATAGGGTTAGCCCGAAACCGAGTGGGCTGGCCCGATTGACATCCCTACCTACTTCGATCTAAATTTTCTTGAAAAATCTCTAAGGATAAGATTTGACCGGCAAATTTTTATTATTTAATAATCTCTCTTTATAATTGGTCAAATTATTTAATTATGGAAAATTAGGGAATAATTAATGATGGTATAGAAATCCTAAAAGAATATAGAATTGAAGAATATTTAATTATTGTTATATTATTATTGTGACTCACGGAATACAATATAAGAATATTTAATTATGGTTATATTATTATTGTGCCTGACGACCATTATATACTAACAGAACTTGAAAAGAAACTAATAATAATAATAATAATAATAATAATAATAATAATATAATAATATAAGTGGTAATAATAATATCTAAAAGTAATTAAGTGTTAATAATAATAGTAAGAATATTAACGTAAGAATTATAACATAAAATAAATCGTAATAATTAATAATTATAGTTTAGGATTAAATTTGGAATTGTCAGGAAAGATAAGCGACCTCTGGTGAAATTAACTCTTAAATAATTATATATCGATTTAAATATTTTTAATATATTACAACAATTCCATTCCGTGCATCGCACGGGTGAAAATACTAGTATTAATAATAAATTTTACTACCGAAATAACATTGATCTTTTACCACAAATAAAAAGAGTTAATATTTTAAAAATGCTTATTTATGAAAATTGTTGTTTTTTTAATACTTACTTTTTGACATATCAAATCAAATAATAAATATTGTCATGCAAAAAAAAAATTAAAATTTCTTATTTATTTATAGTACTAAATATGATGCATTTAATAATCAACTAAATTTAATTCTTAATGAGAGAATCCAATAGACCTCATCGGTTTGAGCCGTTCAATTATGAAAAACCTAAACTGATTTACCTCATTGTTATTCTTTGTTGGTTAAGATCATAATATGCGAACAGAGCAGAGGATTGAAGATGATGTTTGTCAGAAGAAGTATATTGAATTGAATTGGGAGTTACAGTACAGGAGTTTATATACATGATATCTAATAGAATAGTAGTTAACAAAGCTAAAGACTAGGCCATGCTAAGCTATGAATGCTAACTGCCTAATACACCCCCCTCAAGCGGAAGGCGGGCACGGCACGACGCCAAGCTTGAACCGTAAATCAATGAACCGAGACACAGATAGGGGTTTGGTGAAAATGTCGGCTAGTTGATCATGAGTAGACACAAAATTTACCTTAAGAGCACCAGACGCCACTTTGTCCCGAACGAAGTGATAGTCCACTTCCACGTGCTTAGTCCATGCATGGAACACCGGGTTCGAGCAGAGATAGGTCGCGCCCAGATTATCACACCAATGTACGGGAGTCGTGGGGCAGGCCAAGGCTAGATCCTTCAGAAGAAACTGAAACCAAACCACTTCAGCGGAGACATCTGCAAGGGCTTTGTACTCAGCCTCTGTGGAGGAGCGAGCGACAGTCCACTGTTTCTTCGAGCCCCATGAGATTAAATTGGGTCCAAGAAACACCGCATAGCCAGCTGTAGATTTCCTGTCAACTGAACAACCGGCCCAGTCAGAGTCTGAGAAGGCATGAACCACAGGAGACACTTAAACCTGTAAGCCGAAGACCAAGAGAGAGCGTGCCTTTCACATAACGTAAGACACGCTTAAGTGCAGCCCAGTTGTCTTCTTTAGGGTTGTGCATGAACTGACACAATCGGTTGACTACAAACGACAAGTCTGGCCTAGTGATCAGTAAGTACATAAGAGAACCAACTAGTTGGCGATAGAGAGTCGGATCATCCAAAGGAGAGAAAGTAACGTCACTAGCTGCCGTGGTGACGGTCATGGGCGTAGAAAGTGGCTTACAAGAGTCCATCCCAGCTTTGCGAAGTAGTTCAGTCATATACCGTCTTTGAGATAATAGGACTGCACTGTCAGTGTATAGAGCCTCAATGCCGAGAAAGAATCGAGGTTGACCCAAGTCGCGAATCTTGAATGTCGAGGCAAGCTGCTTCAATATGAACATCACCTGCGAATCATCATTCCCTAACAGGAGAATGTCATCGACATATACCAGGATATAAATGCGGACTTGGCCAGAATCATAAATAAATAGGGACACATCAGTTTTAGAAGGCCGAAACCCAACTAACACAAGAAACTCTTGCAACTTTGTAAACCACGCCCGGGGGGCCTATTTCAGGCCATACAGTGACCTCTGAAGCTTGCAGACGTGATCGGGGAAGCTCGGATTGGCATACCCAGGTGGCTGCCACATGTAAATATCTTCAGTAATGTGTCCGTTTAAGAACGCATTATGGACATCCAGTTGTTTCATAACCCAGTTGTTGGACACGACATAGGCTAATAAAAGCCGAACCGTAGCCGGTTTGACAACCGGACTATACGTTTCCGAATAGTCAATGCCCGGAACCTGGTTAAACCCTTTGGCCACCAGGCGGGCTTTATACCTCTCGATTGAGCCATCAAACTTGCGTTTTATGCAATACACCCATTTGCTACCTATTACATTCATTGTGTTACAAAAAAGGAACTAATGTCCACGTGTTATTTTGTAGTAGTGCATTAAATTCTGCATCCATCGCATTGCGCCAGTGTTGGCTTTTTACCGCTTGAGAGTGGAAGGATGGTTCATCATCGTCAACGGAGGCAATCATGGCTCGGGGAGGGCGGCGCTGCTGACTTGTTGTGTCACGCAGACTCATGACATGCTTGCGAGTCGGTGAGCGTTTCCGTCGGGGACGAGGTACAGTTGTCGATGAAGTGGTAGGGTGGTAAGAAGAATCCGTAGTATGAGCTGAGGAACTTTGCATAACATGAGTCGGTTGAGCATTGCTGCTAGTAGATGAGTGTCCGGTTGGGCGTGGCACTGACGTGGACTGTGTTGTACCATTGATCACAGGTTGAGCAATCTGGACACACGCCCACGGTATTTGGCTGGTGCTAGTGCCACATTCCTGCGTTAATTCTGGACTGTACTCGAATGGGAAAACATCCTCATTGAACCGCACATGACGAGCAATATAGGCTCGCCCCGTTGTTCTGTCCAAGCACCTGTAACCACTAAATGAATCGGGGTAACCCAAAAAAACACAAGACACGGGCCGGAACTCCATTTTATGTGTGTTGTAAGGAGGCAAACACGGAAAGCATTCACAACCGAACACCTTTAAAAGATTATAGTTCGGTGACTTATGAAACAGTAAGAAGTAAGGACTTTGATTATGAAGAACTGAAGTTGGCATCCGATTGATTAAATAGACTGCTGATTCAAAAGCGAAATGCCAATATTTATGTGGGACATGACTATGGGCTAACAAAGACAGACCAGTTTCCACAACATGATGATGCCTACGTTCAACAAGGCCATTTTGTTCATGTGTGTGGGCACATGATTGGCGATTTAAAATACCTGCAGCCACAAACACCGAATGCAGCTTTCAGTATTCACTATCGAGGTCAGATTGGATACTTTTA